CTGGAACTCCATCCCGCAGTCCCTCCACCTCACCTCCTCCCTTGCCTCCTTCAAGACCCATCTCAAGACCCTCCTCTTCGACCGTGCTTTCGATCACCCTCCTTCCCCCCATGCCCTCCACCCTTGAATCCAACTGCATCCTATTTGCACACAACAATGTTGCACAAACAGCCATAATGTAAACAATCAATTTTATTTGGGGAATTGTTGACCAGGACACCGGAATAGAAACTCCCTTCTCTATTCGAACAGGGCAACAGTATCATCCACCTGGACAGGCACAGCCTCGGCTCAACATCTCATCTGAAGGATGGAACCGCTGACAATGTAGCTCCCCCAGCACTGTGCTGGAATGTCAGCCTAGATTGTGAACTCAAACTCCCTGATGTGCAGCTTGAACCCATATCCTCCCTGAGTCAGAGGTGAGGGTGTTACTGGCTGACACATACCAATTGAGATCCTTCCACCTGATACAGTGAAATATTCCCAAAGCGAATGAATACCTTGCTTCCATCTTTACAAAAGAGAGCATTGCCAATGCCACAGCAAAGGAGGAGGGAGTAGAGAAATTGGATAGGATAAAATAGAGAGGAGGAATTTAAAGATTAGCACTCAAAGTAGAAAAATCACCCAGTCCAGATGGGATGCATCCTAGATTGCTGAGGGAAGTTAGGGTGGAATTAATGGAGGTTCCGGCCACAACCTTTCAATCCTCCTTGGATATGGGAATAGTGCCTGAGGACTGGAGGGTTACAAATGTTACACCCCTGTTCAAAAATAGGAGAGGGTTAAACCTGGTAACTAAAGGCCAGTCAGCCTAATGTTGGTGGTGGGGAAACGTCTAGAGATCATAATCCAAGACAGAATTAATTTTCACTTAGAAAAACATACACTAATTAAGGACAGTCAACACGGATTTGTTAAAGGCAAATTGTGTCTGACAAACTTAATTGAGTTATTTGATGATTTATCGGAGAGGATTGATGAAGATAGTGCAGTTGATGTAGTGAATATGGACTTTCAGAAGGTGTTTGATAGGGTGCTATGTAATAGGTGAGTTTGCAAAATTGAAGCCCATGGGATAAAAGGGCAGCATGGATACGAAATTTGCTGGGAGACAGAAAGCAGGGGGTAGTGGTGAGTGGTTGTTTTGCAGTCACTGGTGGTGGGGAATCCTCTCACTCCCCTCAGCTCCTGTGAACCCTGCAAGCCAAAGCTTTAACAGGTAAGGTGGTCTTAGCTGGTCAAACAGTGGGAAAGCTAGTCAGACAGTGCTATTGATGGTAAGCTGTGCGGTTTTAGCTGGTTACACTCCAGCAGTACCCCAATGCACACTCTGGGGTTTCCAAGCCTTGGCTCTTGCCAACCTGTACCTAATACTTTCTGGAATTGGGTAAGCAGGATGCATCCTTTCAGGGAGAGAGTGTGCATTCCATTCCAACAATCTATCTCTGGAATTTCCATGTGTAGGTGGGATGTATGGAATTATCATCTTGGTTTGGATACTCTTAAGCATTGTTACGGATTTTCACATGTGTCAGACATCAGGCTGACCCCAAAAAATCTCAGTCATTACACTGCTTGTCAGAACTGAAGTGTTTGATGATTGATATCTTCAGATTGGTATCCAGGACTGAAAACGGAGCTTTGCCGGAGATGTGTGCTGACAGATCCCCGTATAACACCAACAGTGTTCTCAGATGTGTCTGAGGTTCTTACATCTCAAATGTCTTTCAGAGATAAAAGAGTGCGACTTGGATTGTAATAATAATAATCATGCTTACATTTGATACAGCACCTATCACGACAGAGGATGTCTCAAAGCTTCGAGGGATTCACTAAAATGTAGTGACTGTGCATTTTGTAAGTGAATGCAGCAACCAATAACAATGTCTGTGCTGGCTTCTTTAGGGAGCATCCTTACTTTTAAAATCTTTTTGTCATCCTCACTTTTAAAGCTCTTCATGGTCTCGCTCCTTGCTACCTCTGCAATCTGCTAAAACCTTACCAACCTGTCTGTTCCCTCCACTCAATGGGCACTGGCCTGCTCCATGTCCACTGGTCTACCCGCTCCACCATCATTGTGGTCGTTCCTTCAGCCTTTCTGTCCCTACCTTCTGGAACTCCATCCTGGAGCCCCTCCACCTCGCACCCTCCCTTGCCGCCTTCAAGGCCCGTCTCAAGACCTTCCTCTTTGTCTGTGCCTTCGGTCATCCTCTTACCCCCATCCTCCTTGTCCATCACTCCTTAATCCAACCCCCAGCTCAGGTGCAAATCCTTTATTGTCCACCACCTGGATATCCTCATAACATTAAAGGTGCTATATAAATGCAATTTATTGCAGTTGCAACAGTACCACAGTATCTGAGAACCTTTCGTTGATCTAATGGGCAGCAGTGCAGCAGTACCTGAATACTTTATGGTGGACAGTAAATTGGACATTAAATTGGACAATACCTCTCATTTCCTCTGCAACACTCGGTTTGGCCGATCTTAATTGTTGTGAACTCTTGAATGCTTTTAACTACCTGTAACAATTATTAATCTGAACTGATATGTGTGAGTTTTTAGTTCATCTCAGGGTTAAATTGGCATCTTACAATAGCAACATTAAACATCCAATGGCACTATTTAAAAAAAGCTGTGCTCAAACTGGCTGCAATGTTTCACCCACAAAACAGTCACTAAACTTTACAATATAACCTGTACATGCTTTGAGATATCCTTCTGATGTGGAAGTTGCTGTTTCAAATGCAAGGATTATTATTATTAAATTTGTAACACAGTCATGGGATATCAAACTGAATTTACCATGGGAAGCTGGATTGCTGAGAAAAGCATGATATATAGGAGCTTTAAAGGTACAACACTAGTCAATGTGAAACCACCTGCATCTGTTGCACATCATCCCCTACCTGGAGGGCTCTCAGTGATAGAGCCAGTGGGGTGGGGCGGGGGGGGGGGGGGGGTCAGGAAGGTTCATGAACCCCGCCCCCCCCAATCACTTTGAGGTTGGCCAAAGTTAACCAATACAGACTCATTTCCCTGTACTTTGTCAAAATCACGTTGACGTTTTCGACTGCCAACAGCTCACCCTCTGACTGACTGACTGGCAGCCCATCCACATCATCCCTTCCCTGACCTTAACTGACAACGGATGGCTAATCAAAGGCTGGGCATCACCCACAGCTCGCCAACACTGACTGATTGATGGCCCAGCTGGCAATCAGAATTGCATTGGGAGGAGGCAGAGGGGTGGAGTCAAGTGGGCCAATTCCTGATATGGACCTAACCTCCCGTGATCCTTTGACCCTAGAGCTGCCCCTGAGGGCTCTGCTGATGTAATAATCGTTTTATTTGATACAGCGCCTTTCATGTCAGGAGGATTTCTCAAAGCGCTTCACAGGATATACTGTATATTTTGTAGGTAGCCAGTTTGTGCACAACAATATCTCACAAACTGCCATGGAATGAGTGACCAAGTTTATTTGTGGCATTATTGGCCAGGACACCTGGAAGAGAAATTCCCTTCTTTTTTTAAATAGTGCCATGGGATCGTTAACGTCCACTTGAACAGGTAGACCGGATCTCAGTTTAACATTTCATCCAAATGGATGAACCTCTGACAATGCAACACACTCCAGCACTGCACTGGAGTATCAGCTTAGACTACATGATTTCAAGTCCTGGCCTGAGGCTTGAAGCCACAATCTTCTGACTCCGAGGCAAGAGTGTGAGCGACTGAGCCAGCTGACAGTGTGTGCCTTTAGGTGTGTAATACTGTATGACTCCAACCCTGCTGAAGCAACAAGTGATCTGAACATTTAAAAAGGAAGATTTTTATATATATGTAAAGGCTAAAAAGAAATGTGGCTTCTTCCAGAATTAAAGCTCCCTTAAATCATTTAACATGTGGTTTGATGAGAAAGCTTTAATTTGTCTTGTCTTGTTACTTGGTTAGAAAGCTCCCCAAATATCCCACACACACAAACACACACACAAGCATACGGTTACAGGGCGCGGGTTGGGTAAAATGACACTCAGAGAGCAGCATTCATGCATCCATTCATTCAATCCTCACTGCACACCAACTCTGTCGTAAATAAGATGCACCCACCTGGCAATCAAGCGTGGAGCTGCCGGCTCGCCTCCTGCATTATTCACACGCGTTCAACCAAAAGAAAAATCACCTCTTTTTCGCCCTCCCTCTGTACCCCAGCAGATCCCAGCAGATCCCAGCTCACTGACAGGTCCCACCCTGTGCGCTCCATCCCCGCTCATCTCTCAGCGCCTCCCAAACCCAACCCATTTCTGGATCCCAATCTGTTGCACCAGTTCCTAAGGCATTGCACGGATCTCTCTGATCGCCTTTAATGTCAGGAACAGCGCTTTGTTCTCGGTTCAGCTGGTATTCTCGGTCCAGGTAAGCAATGTTTCCTCCTAACATGCACAGAGTTGACTAAATAGTATAGCGAATCCGGGGTGTACCGTCAGGGCTTTCCTATTCATGTACATTTGATCTGCAATGACCCCATAACCTTCTGATTCAAAGGCGCGAGTGCTGCGGACTGAGCCAAGCTGGTATCTCAGTGGTTAATAACACTGGCTGACTGCACCCTCCACCAACATCTATGTATTGCATATTTAATCGTCAGTTTTTTTATTTGAAGAGGATAATAGAACATGTTATCAGGAGATCAGATACTGTATGTTAACATCCAGTGTTGGTGAGGTTGCTTTGTTTTTACATATGCAGTCTTACAGTATGTATAGTGTTATTTAAAAGCTGACAGCTCAGGTTTCTGCTAGTTAGTTAATCTTCTGTCTTGTCTGTGTTTTGATTGATCCTGATGCTGTATAATTCTTAGATTGGGAAGTAAGAGTAGGAACACCAGAATAGAAGGAATAAGTAACAAGGCAAGCAATTTACCTTGGAATTTGAGAAGGTTCCTCTTTGTTTCCCCCCTCCATTCCCAATTGCAGTGAACAGATTGCGAGCGATGATCCTCCCAGGATTTCTGTTGTTTGTTTTCCATTTCCAACTCGCTAGTCCCACATCTGAGCCCTGGTCTCTCTGTCCCAGTGGATGCACTTGCCAAAAAGTTCTCAGGTACGTGAACTGCTCGAATGCTTTGCTCTGTCATGTCCCCGAGAGCCTGCCGAGGGATACGGAGCACCTGGACTTCTCGGGGAACAACCTGACTATCTTGCCGGCCGAGGGCTTCAGTTCCCTCTGGAAGTTGAATGTTCTTCTCATCAGCACCAGCAATGTGGGGGAGATAGACGATGGAGCATTCAACGTCCTTGAGAACCTCTGGAGACTTGACCTCCAGAGGAATAACATCAGGCAGCTAAGCAACAGCTTTTCCATCGGCCTGTATTCCCTGAGCGAGTTGATACTGTCCCACAATAACATTGTGACACTTGGCTCCCACACGTTCCAGTACCTGGACAACTTGCAGAAGCTCTACCTAAGCAATAACCAGATTTTGGAGATCCAAAACCGGGCTTTCCAAAGCATGACAAGGCTACGGCAGCTCCACCTTCAGAATAACCATCTCAGGAACTTGAGTAACGGACTTTTCTTCATGATGCAGAACTTGGAGATTTTGAACCTTCAGGGCAACAGGATCAGCCTCATCGACTCTGCAGTTTTCATATCATTGACCAGCCTGACAATGCTGAACCTGGCCCAGAACAGACTGGAGCACATCAAGTTCAAGACCTTCCTGACCATCCAGACATGGGGGACACACATTTTCCTGGCGGAGAACAACTGGACGTGTGATTGCGAGCTGCAGAGGGTCTTTGGGAAGCTTCGCCTGGTCCAGCGCCTCACTGTGGATGACTACGAGAGTGTGATCTGTTTGGAGCCCCCCGCTCTCAAGGGATTGCCCCTGGCCTCAGTCGACACACAGTTGTGCGTGGCCGAGACCGTCACTGTCCTGGTTATCACCTTGACCGTCTTCATCACCGTGGTTGCTGCCATCGTGATGGCCGAGAGAAGCAGGAAGAAGCGGACAGGGAAACACTGGACTGAAGAGAGTGAAGAGTTCGAGTCTCAGGATTGATGCAGGTGACTTCAGTGAAGTTTAGGAATAGGACACATACCGCAATAGCTCTTAACCGTTGGTGTCAGCTTAGCTCAGTTGGGTACACTCTTGTCTCAAAGTCAGAAGGTCGTGGGTTCAAGCCTCATGTCAGGGCTTTGATCTCACAGTCTAGGCTGACATTCCAATGCAGTGCAATCCATTGTTGGAGATGCCACCCTGTGCATGAGACATTAAACCGAGGCCCCATTTACCTGTTTAGGTGGACATTAAAGATCCCTCGGCACTATTCTAAAAGAGAAGGAAGTTTCTCTCTCCTGGTGTCCTGGCCAATGATCCTCCAAATATAAACACAGTCACTACACTTTTTTTTAACACCTGTCCTGCCACCTTCAAATATTTAGGTATATGACCCCCAGGTCTCTCTGTTCCTTCACCCCCTTTAAGATTGTACCATCGGCTTATATTGCTCTCCTCATTCTTCCTCCCAAAATGCATCACTTTGCATTTCTCCACATTAAACTTCATCTGCCACCTGTCGGCCCATTTTACCAGTCTGGCTATGCCATTTGCAGTCTGATACTATCCTCCTCACTGTTTACTGCTTTTCCAAGCTTAGTATCATCTGCAAACGTGGAAATTGTACTCTCCATACCCAAGTCCAGGTCATTTATATAGATCAAAAACAGCAGTGGTCCCAATACTCTCCCCTGCACCATTGGACACTTCCCCCCCAGCCAGAAAATCAACCATTCACCACCATTCTCTGCTTTCTGTCTCCCAGTTGTGTTTCCATGCTGAACCCCTCCAATGAACCAATCTATGAACCCCTCTAATCTGAATTTTGTGCTGCTCATAGCAAAGAGACTGTCCTGGTCAAAGTGACAAATGACATTCTGTCCACCTACAATCAGGGCTTTCTCTGTCTCCTTGTCATTCTTGACCTCTTGGTTGCTTTTGATACTGTTGACCACTCTATTCTTCACTGCTCCTTCTCTCACCTCCAACTCAACAGTTCTGCAGCTTGTGTCCTCTCTTGCACCAGGCTCCGGGAAGCAATCACCTCCTTTCTTGCCCGGCTTCACTGGCTCCCCATTCCTCAGAGAATCAAGTACAAAACCCTTGTTCTAACCTTCAAGGCGCTCTATGGTCTTGCTCCCTCCTACCTCTCTGACCTCATAACCTCATTGGTGGTCTGACATTCAGCATCTCTGCCCCCACCTTCTTATAGTGTGGAGACCAGAATTGGACACAACACTCCAAATGTGATCTAACCAAGGTATAAATTCAACATCACCTCCTCACTTTTATATTCTATCTCTCAGGATATAAACTTTCCCAGTGCCTCATTACTTATTACTAAAACTCATTGCTAAGCTCTTTATTCTCCCAGTGACCCTTGGTATTATCCAACGATTAGAAAATGTTATATTCCAACAATTAACAAATGTGGAGTCCAGTAGCTCAGTGGTTAGAGTGCTCGCCTCGCAGCGAGAGACCTGGGTTCGATTCCTGGCAGGATAAAACCTTGGGCAAGTTTCCTTACTCCACATGCCTGATAATAATCCCTCAAGAAAAAAAATAAATAAATTGGTCACTTCAATCCACGACTGTTTGTTGGACCCTGCTGTGTGCAATTGGCTTTCGCGTTTTGTCCACAAATATACAATCAATTCACTTTACAGTATATTCTGTGAAGCACTTTGAAACATCTAGAAGATGTGAAAAGCGCTATATAAAATTATTATTATTATTCTTGGGCAGTGGATGTACAACTCAGTACAGAAATGTATATCTTATTCTAATAACAGTAATAATATAACAGTAATTATTTGACAATCATAGTTTCCATTGATATAGTATCTTTCCCATTAAGTGGATGTCTCACAGTCCTCTGCTTGATTTTACTCGAAATTGTAGTGACTGTATATTTTGTAGGCAAAACGCAGCAGCCAATTTGCACACAACAGTGTTCCACAATCGGGTTTGGACTTATTGCTAGGTAAACAGAGGCATGTGGAATAAGGAAACTTGCCTAAAGTTTTGTCCCGCCTGGGAGTTGAAGGTTGGGTCCTCCCGCTTGTGAGGCGAGCACGCTGGGGATTCCGTATGTAATGTAAGGATTATTATGATTTTTGTGTGTGAGCTTGGACATTAAGTGTCAGTAACAATGTTGAACCATGGGGGATGGATGGATAAGGGGAGTTGATCACAACTACTCTATTCCTATTTTCTCCACTGACCTTTCTATTTTGTTCCTGCACTGTTAGGTTTCCATTGATTTTGATGGCGTGGCAAAGCACTGAGCTGGGGAAATGGTCACCAATGCTGATTCCTGGGAGAATGTCCGAGTATTGGGATGTACATCTGGACTCTGTCACATGGGTCACCGGCAGTTGCTGCTCTCGACTTCCGAGAAGTCAGCCCCTGGGGATGGGATCTCCAGCATCTGACCTCCAGACTTGAGACCCACTTTGGCTTATTAGTGTGTGATGTCTGATTTTCTACAACAACTTGCATTTATATCGCATGCAGGATAGCATCTCAGAGCACTTGACAATGGGGGAGCATGACATGGAGCGGGGGGGGAGCTGACCGTAGGCACGGTCAAATAGGAAGGTCTTCAGGCACAACCTGAAAATGGGGAAGAAAGGGTCAAGGGAGAGGGATACAGGAAGAGTGTTCCAGAGTTTCAGGGTGTAGTGGCTGAAAGCGCATCCACCAATGGTGGAACAGAGGGAACAAGGGACATGTAGAAGGCTGGAGCCAGTAGAACGGAGGCAGCAGGTTGTGGGTTGGAGGGTAAGCAGGTTGGGGAGGTAGGGATGTGCCAGGGCATGAAGCAATTTGAAAATGTCTGTGAGGATCTTGAAATCAATTCTACATACTGTATAAAAGCTGTCCAAGCAGGGGATTGGAATTCCACCCCGGAGTCCCTCCATCTCAATTCATCCTGGAGTCCCTCCGACTCACTCCATCCCTTCCCTTGTTCAAGGCACGTCGCAAGACGGTTCTTTGATGTCACTTTTAGTCATCTTTCCCTTCCCCAGCCTCTCTTCTTTGGTTTCCACCCCCACCTCTGGTGCCCAGATAACAACACAACAATTTGCACTTACACAGCTCCCTTCATTCAGGATAGCATCTCAGAGCTCTACAAGCTGGTAGGATTGTACACCAAGCAAGAGAGAAGGTAGAAGGGACATAGGCACCGTTGAAGCTGTAAAGGCAGTGTGAAGCGCTTTGTGACATTCTCCTGACATGAAAAGCGTTGTATAGATGTAAATTGTATTGTATTGTATTTGCATTGTCTCTCATAAAGGCCCCTTCAGACAGATGCAATTAGAATTCAGTGTAACCATATTCTAATATTGACAAGAGTTCATTGAATCACAGATGCAAATGAATCAACCTTGTCCTTTTGGATTATTATTTTTATTGAAAATAATTGATAAAGTAGTAAAAAAATGAACTTCTTCAAACCCCTTCAGATCATTGGGTTCATCTGGCTCCATTGAATTCTGATCCGGAATTCCAGATCTGGAATTCTGCACTTGGATCAGAATTGTGCTGGGTTGGCTGATTTAGGTGTCAGCTTGGTTCAGTTGCTTGCACTCTTGCTTCTGAGTCAGAAGGTTGTGGGTTTAAGGCTCACATCAGGACTTTGAGCTCACAATCTAGGCTGAAGCTCCAGTGCAGTACTGGGTGTGTGCTGCATTTTTCAGAGCTACTGTCCTTTGGGTGAGACATTAAACCAACATTAAAGATCCCGTGGCACTATTGGAAAAGAGAAGGGAGTTTCTCTCTCCTGGTGTTTTGGCCAACAATACTCCAAATAAAATTGGTTACTCACGTCATCGCTTTTTGTGGGACAATGCTGTACACAAACTGACTGCTGTGTTTACCTACTGCACTCTATATCCTGACATGAAAGGCGCTATATCAAATGTAAGGTTTAGTATTTATTATTTATCTCAACTTGGGTGTTGATGGAACACTACAATGGGTCTGTGCCTTAGGCAAGAAGGAGAAAACTGCTTCTATAGAACCAGAGAAATAGAACCAGAGAATCTTACAGCACAGAAGAGAGCCATTCAGCCCATCATTGGACCAGTGACAGGCTGTTCAACTCCACAGTTGAAAAGGCTGCCAGTAGTTATTGTCTGGGCTCACATTGAACTGGTCACTGGAACCATTGGCAGTATTGCTGGACTTGACTGTGAGAAGGAAAGACAGGGTGAATAGCACCCATGGAGCCAGCCAACTTGAGTGAGTGCCTTCAGGAGAGAAGGGAAAAGAACACAGTGGGGATGGGCATTGGGTTCTTGGTCATATAAATATAAATAATCGTTATGTTTGCTTTTGCACCTTTCAACAACAACAATAAATTATACTTGTGTAGTGCCTTTCCACATCAGGAAATCTCAAAGCATTTCTCAGGATTTACTGTAAAGTGCAGTAACTCTATATTTTGTAGGCAAATGTGGCAGCCAGTTTGCACGATGCAATTACACATCCCGATGTTCCCCTGATTGCAAGGCCTGCAGTGATGACTGAGGCGTAATGATTCAGCCCATGGAAAAACCTTCCTGTTTTACATGCTGCATAACACACACTTTGCAGTAAATTGTGTCCTTCCGACATGATGATGCTATACTTTATTTCATGGCAGACCAAGAATCAAACCTGGGACAATCTTCACAAGATCACAAGATCAGTTGGATGTCCTTTACAACTCTAAACCTGTGTCCTCTTGTTCTAATGTCTTGGTGCAACCTAAATCCCAGTTATAAGTATTATAAACCTCTATGAGGTCCCCTCTGAATCATCTTTTCTCAAGGCTGAAGAGACCTAGCTTGTCTAATCGTTACTCATAGCTTATTCCTCTTACACTGGAGATCAGCCTTGTTGCTCTCCTCTGTACTGCCTCTAGGGACCCCTTATGTCACAGTGACCATAACAATATGCAGTATTGAAGATGTGGTCTGACCAGTGGTCTGAGCACTGTACAGTTTGAGTATAATGTCTGGAAATCTAAACTCAACTGATTTCTTAGTCAGTGTTGCTTCAGGACCACACTGGACAGTGGCCTTCACCAACTGCGCCAGCAGACCAGCATTGCCCATCAGTAACTGAAAAGGAAACATCTTTCAATACAAACTTTCAAATCTGTGGTTTAGCTTTTAAGAGAGGAGATGTTTGCTCAATTCTGAAGAGTGATGGAGCTTTAGTCTTTCTGTGGATTTATTTGTCAATTGTACAATAACTTAATTATGCAGCAGCCGCAGGCAGATAACATTACCTCCTGGTTTTGTGTTTCAAAGAGCATCCAGGGACTCATGACAAAGGGTGTTGAAACACAAATGCGTAGGAAAGAACAGCTGGATGCGAAATGACATGAGCCCCTCTCTCAAGCATAAAGCCAGGAATATTAAAGAGAGCATTAAAGTCAGACCACACAAAAGGGCTTGGCCCAAACGTCCGTAGAAAGATGTAATTAAGGTCTGGTTAGGCTCATTGATTGTGCTTGGACCTGCCTCTCACAGCAATTTATATAATACCACTGGCAGAGCATTGACACAATAAAACCACGTGCAATAGTTTGGCTTATCCAAAGGTTCAGTGGGTAATAGCCCTGAGCCCTGGAGATGGACATTGCTGTGTGCAAATTGGCTGCCAAGTTCGCCCACAAAACACACAGTCACTACGCTTTACAATATATCCTGTGAAGCCATTTGAAACGTCCTCCCGATGTGAAAGGGGCTGTATCAAACTTAAGGGTTACTGTTTGTATTCGAAGGGTATGGAAGGGAGTAAGACTTGGGGTAGAGACTCACCTGGGGTGTGTATATAGAGCATTGAATGGTTGGACTGAATAGTCTGCTTCCATACTATACAATCTTTGCAGATCTAAGTCAGCAATGGCCAACCTTTATGGTCAGCCACCAAAATACATTTTCTTGATTGAGTATTCATGCCATGATTCAAGAAATATTCCATCAAGAAAAAACTAAAAACACTACCGATCGAGAACAGACGTACCTAGACTTGTGCGAATGTTCGGTGGGGGCCACTGTGCCACAGGGTGGCCACCATTGGTTTACGTAAAGCTTAGAGGGTGGAACTGCATGTCAAGTTCTTAATGAGACATAATGAGAGGTGGGAGGTGACCTTAGGGACTGTCAAAGACGAAGGTCTTAATCTGAAAATGGGTAATGAAAAAAAGACACATAATGGACAATGGTCCAACACAATTTCCTTATTTATTGATACATTTCAGAGGTTTTTAGTCTTGTAGTAAGTAGTTGAGCCATTTAGTTGTACTCAGAGTAAACAGTTAATGCTTTACTTAGTTAAATGGCACATTATTGCAGTTATTTGTGTTCAGTTGCCAAGGCAATTCTCCTGTCTGCCACTACTGCTCCGTGCGATCATATGTATTAGGCAGAGTACAAGGCGTCTTCAAGGACTAAGTAGAGCTGAAATTATACTGGGAGGGTCGGACACTTGCTCAGAGCTGCGCTCAACTCCCATCGAGTCTGCCCAAGATACTTCCTGACATGCCCTAAATGTTAAAAACAAAATCAAAAATCACCAGATGTTTTACATCGCAAACGAGAATGAGAGTTACAATTTTATTTGAAGTTGTTTTGCACCTGGAGGTGAGCTAGTTACATGTGACATGTTAAATTTACAAGACCACCACCTTGCATTTTTTATAGCGCCCTTCAAGGAATGTAGCATCTTGGAGTGTTTAACAGTGGCGGAGCCTGATACCGAGCTGGGGGGATGGGGGGGAGGCACTGTCAATGAGGAAGGTATTAATCTGAAAATGGGGAAGGAAGGGGCAAGGTGTAGGAATTGAGGAAGAAAATTCCAGAGTTTTGGGACATTGTGCTGAAAACACGGCTGCCAGTGGTGAAGCAAAAGGGATGAGGGACAAGTTGGGAGGTCAGAGCCAAGCAAAGGTGGCGGCTGGTGGCATGGGGAATAAGCAGCTCGGAGAGTAACCAGATTTAGTTTATTTCTTATGCAAATGAAATTATTCTCCTCAGATTTTGACTGTCCTTTTTGCCTAATCGTGATTCCAAAGAGCTCTGGGGTTCTGCCACATCTCCCCCATCGTTGGGAACTGCAATCCCCAGTGATGAATTCTTTTATGGAAAAAAAAGAGCTGGCATGAAACAGTTTGGTTCAGAAGCTCTTAAAATGTTCTGAACTGCAAGACTCAGAACAATGCAATATAATTTGCATTTATATAATACCTTTCACATCGGAGGGACGTCTCAAAGTGCTTGATTGGAACCAAGTGTTGAAACATGGTAATAATGCCATGGTTACTGAGTGTACAGACTTTCCTGTGGGCCACATTTACATTGTTGCAGCCCAAGAGAATTCCTTTTGGTTTTAGTCTCTCTTCCCTCAATGTTTGTGTCAAGAACACACAAAATGAACCTCGGCATTTAAGTGTTATCCCATAGACCCTGCTCACGTTGTTAACTGCAAAGCTTCACACATCATCATCTGCTGTGCACAAATCGTCTGCCATTGTATGCCTACAGGGACACAGTCACTCCACTTCACAGTAAATAATAATTATTTTTGCTTTTGGTATTCCACCTCAAACGTCTCAAAGCACTTCACAGAATACAGTACAACTCACTTGTCCTATCTTTATAAACTGTATAATTGCCTAAATCATACATTCACCCAAGTCCCATTCAGTTTCCTATCAAAACCGTTTAGATTTCTTTGCATAAGTCATATTAATCAACTCCTAACTCATAACGCCACACCCCTACCTTCCACTACTCCTGCACATACCTGCATTGAATTGCGGAAAATGACATCACCACATGCGCACTTACCGGCTGCATTGAATTATTCAAGTGCCTCTACTTCATCTCAACAAATGGTTTCTTCTCCCGCTCCTGCCTGGTCACCTGCGGGGTACCCCAGAACTCCATCCTTGGCCCCCTTCTTTCCCTCATCTATATGCTCCCTCTTGGTGATGTCATCCACAGACACACGGTAAACTTCCACATATATCCGGTTGACACACAAATCTACTTTGCCTCCTCCATCGACTCCAGGTCCACTGATGTGCTATCAGCTTGTCTGACAGACATCAGGGCCCAGATGAGTGCAAACTTCCTGCAGCTGAATATGGACAAGACGGAAGCCATACTCTTCGGCTCCTGTCAATGTCTTCACTCCTGTGAATCTTAACTCCTCAACCTCCCCAGACTCCCCTCTCCCTCAGACTCACCAAACCAGTGCACAATCCAGGCTTCCAGTTCGACCTCTAGCCGACCTTCCTCCTCCACATCCAGTCCCTGACCAGGACCGCCTTCCTCCACCTCCATCACATTGCCCGCCTTCGACCGTACCTTATCCTTGAGCATGCATTTGTCACCTCCCACTTGGACTACTCAAATGCACTCCTCGCTGGTCTCCCCAGCTCCACTATTCAAAAGGTCCAGCTCATTCAGAACTCTGTCGCCCACATACTTACCCGACCAAACTCCGTACCCACATCTCACCAGTTATTGCAGGCCTCATTGGCTCCTCATCACTCAATGGATCGACTTCAAGATCCTCACACTCATGTTCAAATCCATTCACTCTCTGGCACCTCACTCCCCAATCCACCATTTGGCGCCTCCACTCAACTGGCTCCGGCCTCCTGCTTGTCCTTTGTACCCCTCACTCCACCATTGGAGGTTGTGATTTCAATCACTACTCCCCAAAACTGTGGAATACTCTCCTTCAATCCCTCCATCTTGCCCCCTCTCTCCCCCTTTTCAAGTCCCGCCTGAAAACCTTCCTTTTCGAAGGTCACCTCCACCCCCTCCCACTCGGAGTCAGGCTCCACCACTGTTATGCGCTCAGAGACACAACCTTGTGTGGAGGGCACTATATAAGCGCAAGTTGTTATTGTTGTTGTTACAAGCACAGTGTAGATTTTATACGACTTATACAGTTTGCCTGCAACTCGGACTTTGCATAAATCATATTAAATGTTATGGTCCCGACTGATATGATTTACTGTAAAGTGTAGTGACTGTGTATTTTGTGTGTGAAACACAGCATCCAGTTGCATATAGCAGTGTCCCACAAACAGTAATGGAGTGAGTGACCAATTTTATTTGTTGGCGAGGATACCAGGAGAAAGATACCCCCATCTCTTTTCGAATCGTGTCATGGGATAACATTAACATCCACCTGAATAAGCAGATGGAACATCGATTTAACGTTTAATCCAAAATACAGCATCTCCAACAATGCAACACTGCATTGTGGAGTCCTGTAGCTCAGTGGTTAGAGCACTCGCTTTGCAAGCGAGAGACCGGAGTTCAATTCCTAACCCTAAGTTGCGCGAAACCTTGGGCAAGTTTCCTTACTCCACACAGAGCCTAATAATAATCCCTCCAAAAACAAAAACAATAATAAATCGGTCATTTTCAATCTACGACTGTTTGTGGGACATTGCTGTGCGCAATTGGCTGCCGCGTTTGCCTACAAATATACAGTCAATTCACTTTACAGTATTCTGTGAAGCGTTTTGGGACGTCCTTCCGACGTGAAAAGTGCTTTTTCAAATGCAAGGATTATTATTATTATTATTACTGCCCTAGCATTGCACTGGAGTGCCAGCTTAGACTATGTGATTCCAAGTCCGTTCTGACTTGAAATCATAACATTCAGACTGAGAAGCGAGAGTGCTACCACTCTGTGAAATGCTTTCAGGCATCCTCCAGACCTTAAAAAAAAGGGTGTTCAGTCTTTCTACCCCCACTCTCTGGAACGTTCTTCCTGCAGACTCTCTACCATGTCTGCTCCCCTTACCTCCTTGAATGCTCTTCTCAAGACCTTCCGCTTCAACCATGCATTTAGTAATCTTTCCTTCTCCAATTCTTTACCCTCCACCCCTCTCTGATCCCAACCCGCAGCTTGGTTGCAAACCTGGTGTTCTGGCCAACAATGCCCCAGATAGTTGTGTGTGAACTATGATTGACCGGCCACCCCATCTAGACTGTGCACAGAGTGAGGGCTGACTCACATCGTGCCATGACAACACTTTCTCTCTCTTTCTCTACTCATCCTCGTGGACGAAGAACTCATGGCAGGCAGCTGCAACCATGGCGATGAAGACCACAAACTCCTGGAAGTCACACTCTGTGTCTCCGTCTGCATCCAGTCCTTCCATCAGCTTGTCCAGTGTCTCCTGGTCTTTGATGTCCTGAAAGGGTTAAAGTCAAACTTTGTGGTGTCCCGTAACTTAGTGGTTTCGCAGGCTCGCCTCGTAAGCGAGAGGACCTGGGTTCGATTCCTGGCAGGGCAAAACCCTAGGCAAGTTTTCGTACTCCACACGCCTCTGTTTACCTAGCAGTAAGTAGGAACCCCGTTATTAGTCGATTGGTGAATCACTTTCCGGGATAATAATCCCTCCAAACTTGCTCCATGACCGTTTGTGGGATATTACTGTGCGCAATTGACTGCTGCATTTTGTCCACAATTCACTTTACAGTATATTCTGTGAATGGCTTTGAGACGTGTCAATGATGGGATAAGCCACTGTATCAAATGTAAGGATTCTTATTATTATTATTCTTCTTCAACTTCTTATTGTTATAATTATTAATTAAGCAACACAACCAAGTGAAGAAGGTAGAGTGGGAATCACAATGTCATAATGCAATCCATGCAGCCAGTTGTGCACCTCAAAGTCCCACAAACAGCCATGGAGTGAATGACCAATTTTATTTGGGGATTGTAAGCCAGGACACAGGGAGATAGAAACTCCCTTCTCTTTTTGAATAGTGCTATGGAATCTTGGTTTAATATCTTATCCAAAGGTCTGGAACAGTGTAGCACATCCCCAGCGCTGCATTGGAGTGTCAACTTAAGACTATGTGATTCCAAGTCCCGATTTGGGATTTGAACCCACAACCTTGTAACTCAGAGATGAGAGTGCTACCACTGAGCCAGGCTGACACACGCACACATATATCCACACACAATACAATGCAATATAAATTTATATTTATACAGGGCCTTTCACGTCAGGAGGATGTCCTAAGTTACTGGACAGTTTGCACTCAAGATGGAGTTGGGGGTCGAGGGGGTGTGAGGGAGGTGGGAAGATGACCGAAGGCATGGTAACAGAGGAAGATCTTGAGATGCACCTTGAAGAAGGTGAGGGAAGGGGCGAAGTGGAGAAGCTCCAAGATGGAGTTCCAAAGTGTGGGGGTAGATACATGGAAAGCTCGACCGGCGATGGTGGGGCAGTTGGATCGGGCAGGGTGGGGTACATGGAACAGGCCAGTGCCTGCTGAATGGAGGGAGCAGTTCAGTTGGTAGAGTTTGCAAGGGTAGGATGGGGCAAGACCGTGGAGGGATTTAAAGGTGAGAAGGAGGATCTTGAACTTGATCCAGTTGAATAGTACAACTAAAACTCAATAAGAGTGTCCTCAGATAGGTTGTTGTGTTGTCAGAGGGGTAGATGTATACTCACGCCGATGAAGTTAACAAGCTCATTGTTAATGAGTTCTTTCAACTCTGCTTTCTTCAGTTTCAGCTTGTCCCCCTCGCGGCCAGAATATTTGTGAAACGTCTCAATAATTGCGACCATCGCATTCTCAAGCTCAGACATTGTTGCCACGAAGTTTCTGCACTGGAGCAAACAGATAGTGTCAGTCACTCGCTCCGTGGTTGTTTGCTGGACGTTGCTAGGTGCAAATTGGATGCTGCGATTCATCAACAAAATACACAGTCACTACACTTTACAGTAAATCCTGTGAAGCTCTTTGAGGCATCCTCCCGATGTGAACATAACAATTTGCTAGATGAAAGAAGACCAAGGTCCATCCAGTTTGCCTTGCAAACTATATACTGTATACCAAGATATTATTTCCCCAAAGAAATCTAATTTGATTTTGAAAGAATCAGCACTTTCTGCATCTACTGTCTCCCTATGGAACCTGTTCCATACTACTTGCTCACCAAAATTGTGGTCCTGCAGATCTCTTATGTATTTATTCCCCTTTAATCACAGGGCGTGTCCTCTGGTTCAAAGGTTCTGAACAAGATAAAACACCTTATCGTGATCTAGAGCAGTGTGCCTGTGTGGTACGCAGGCAGCCAATGGCTATTTCCACCATTCCAACTTCCACTCCCTCCCTCCTTGGTGAACATCCTCCCAGGGCAGCATCAGGAGCTGGTGTTTGGGAGGACCCAGCACTCAGAGTATTTGCTGCAGTCTGTCAGGAAAGTAAGCGCATATCTTACCAACAGCGTCCTTAGCAACCAACGGCCAGCTTGTCCCTCACAACCTCCACCCCAACATCGGAGGTCGCGCTTTCAGCCACTTGCCCCAAAACTCTGGAACACTCTCCCTCAATCCCTTTGCTTTGCTCCCTCTATTCCCTTTTTTCAAATCCCCCCTGACAACCTTCCTCTTCGACTGTGCTTACAGCCAACCCCATCCCAAACCCCCACTGGCTCTGAGTTGGACTCCACTGTTAAGCGCTCTGAGATGTTACCCTGAGTGGAGGGCACAATAAAAGTGTAAGTTGTTGTTGCTGAAAGGGGGAGTGAGAGAGAGAGACAGTGAGAGAGTGATTGAGAGAGGGAGAGCAGAGAACAATTGAGAGAGTATGATAAGGGAAGAGTGTGTGAGAGGGAGCGTGTGAGAGTCAGAGAGCGTTTGAGGTAGGTGGAGGGAGGAGAGAACGAAACAGAGAGCGGGGGACATTGAAAGAGGCTGATTGAAAGAGTTTGATAGGGGATGGAGAGAGTGTGGGTGGGAGAGAGAAGGAGACAAGGGGAAGTGAGGAGAGTAGGGAGAGAGTGATTGAGAGGGGGGAGGTGGAGTGTGAGAGGGAAGAGAAAGTGTGAGAGAGTGTGAGAAGGGGAGTGGATGAGAGAGTAATTGAGAGAGAGAATACGTGAGAGATGGAGAGAGAGAGTGCCTGAGGGAGAGGGGGGAGAGAGAATGTCCTCCTCCTTCCCCTTCTCTATGCCCCCACTTTCTCTCTCCATCTCCCCCTTCTCTTTCCCAATCTTCGTCTCACCTCGTCCCTCTCCCCCCCTCTTCCATCATGAACATGCCCAGTTTACTTGATCACTCCTCATAGTCCAGTCCCCTAAATCATTCTGGTTGCCCTCCTCTTTATCCTGAATCACTGCAAAATCCATTTTGTACTGTGGCGACCAAAACTGCACACAGTATTCCAATTGCAGTTGCACCAATGATTTATAAAGCGGCAGGATTATCCCACTATTTTGGCTCAATATTGCCCTTTTAATACAACCCAGCATCTGGTATGCCACCGAGCATTGTTGCAATATTTTCAATGTGTTGTCAATCAGGATCCCCAGGTCCTTTTTGTTTTCCATACAGATTATTTTCTAGCCATTTAAATAATTGTCCCTTCCTGGATTTTTTGTCCCCACACTTTGCATTTCCCTACATTGAATTTATCTGCCATCGATCTGCTCAATTCCCAAGTATGTTCAAATCCTCCTCCCTCCCTTCCCTCCCCTCACCCTGACCATTTGCCCCCTGCTCGGGTCCCGACCCAAATGTCAAAACCTTGGAATGTCCTCCCGACGTGAAAGGCGCTATATAAATGCAATCTTGTTGTTGTTGTTGTTGTTGTTGTTAACCTCTCCTGTTCAGCTTTGCAGTCTACCACCTTCATTAGCTTTGTATCATCTGTAAATTTAGCCTCCGTGCATGTGATTCCTAGTTCCAGATCATTTATGAAGATATTAAAAAAGAGGTCCCAAGACTCCTGTGGAACTCCATTGGTAACATTCTTCCAGCCTGAGTCACTGTTATCCTGACAGTTGCCTCATGTTTACAATACAACTTACATTTACACAGTGTTTTTCACGTTGGGAAGATCTCAAAAATGTTTCACAGTGTAGGCTGGGTACCGGAGCTGGGAGTGAGATGGGAAGAAGGGGAAAGATGACGAAAGCGCGCTGAGACCTCTGGGGAGAGTCAGGTTTGAATGTTTTTAAACATGGTCATGGAAATTCCCATATATTTGAATGGAATGTACACTCTCTTCCCCACCTCCAGAGGGATGTGCCCTGTTACCTAATTCCGGAGTGTATTTGGTGCAGGTTGGCAAGAGCCAAGGCTTGGGGAACCCCAGAGTGTGGGTTGCTCGAGTTTGACCAACTTAAATCGGCATAGCTTGCCATTGAGAGCACTGGCTGGGAAGCTTTCCTGCTGCTTGTCCAGCTAGGACAAAAATCGTGGTCGAAGAGATGGGTCTTGAATTGGGCTTCAAAGGTGGGAGTACTCTGGAGGGAGGGATTCTGGTGATAAGGTGTAGGGACATTGAAGATAAGATGGAGGGACATTGAGGATGAGGAGAAGGAACCCTGGGTTGAGGTGGAGTGACACTGAGGATGAGGTAAAAGGGTGGGGGGAAGAATGACTAAAAGCTCACCCACTGATGCTCTGGTGGGCGGGGCGGTGATGCAAACAGCTGAGCGGAGGGAGTGAATGGGACGATAGGGTTTGAGGAGGTCACAGAGGTAGGGGGGGAAGGGATTTGAAAGTGAGGATGAGGATCCTGAACTTGATCCCTGGGGAACGGGGAGCCGCGTGAGGATAAAGTGCAAGATATTGAGACTGCTTGGGTGAGAGCAGATAATAATAATAATCCTGACATTTAATAAGGCGTCTTATCACGTCATTGGGATATCACAAAGCGCTTCACAGAATATACTATAAAGTAAATTCACTATGTATTTTGTGGGTGAAATGTGGCAGGCAGTTGCACACAGCAATGACCCACAAGCAGAAATTTTAGTTGGGGGATTGTTGACAAGGACACCGGTAGAGAGAAGCTCTCTTCTCCTTTTGAATAGTGCCATGGGATCTTTAATGTCCACCTGAACACGCAGAAGGGACCCTGGTTTAACATTTCATGAATCTGGTTGGGAAACCTGTCACAAATTTGTGGCTTAGTCCACTGGACAGTAAAATAACAAAGCCAGACTAGCGCCGGAGCTTGCTAGCTTGCTTTAAAACATTTCCTGATAATGTTACGGAGACTGACTTGGAATATTGACTCTGTGACAAGTTTTAGCTTCTAAACTTTGCCTCAAGTTGAATTGTTTTGAGATGCTACCCCGTGTGAAGGGCACTATGTGAACGCAAGTTATTGTCGTTGCTTCCCGTGCGCAGAAAAGCAATGTGGTTTCCAGATATCAGTCTGGAGAGAAAAGGTTTGTCAGTTCCTGTAAGTCTGTATCATTCTAACCCCAAAGGACCTGTTGAGTTTTGACATCTTCACTCACTTTATCCTAAGTTTCAAACTCCTCCACCTCCAACCAATTACCTGAACTGCAGTTAATATTTTCCCCTTTCACTGTATTTCCTTTGATATTATGACAATAACAAACGTTCCTCGAATTAAAAAAATAACATTAGCTCACTTGTTCACTTCACACCTGTTTACAGAGTGAAATTTGCCGGGCAAATTGAACACTCTCTCTCCTCCCCAGAGGGACCCCACCAACACACACTTTACAGTGAAAAATCCTGCAAAGTGCTTTGAGACATCTTCCCGAAGTGAAAGAATTATCAAATGCAAAAATTCTTCTTTTTCTTATGATTATCTTAAGATCATCTTGAATTTCAAACTGGTTATTAATTAGCATTTGTTTTTTCATGAGCAGTTAATCACAGTTAATTGCACATCCTTACCTGTCTCTGTTTTGTCTCCAAATGAAGTTGCGCACAATGGTTGAGTATTTGTTTTTCTTTTAAGAACAGTGGGACTTTTGTTCCGCCTCCCCTTTCCCTCCCTGAAGCTGTGAGTTGAAATGTTGCATTGAAATCACTGCAGTCTCTATGCGGACACATTCAACCAATCATCGCCCAGAGTGCTCCTCGTCCCTTAGCAGCAAGACATCAGCTGCAACTTAATAGACCCAACAATGATGAAGCAGATTTATCTGAAAGGGGCCATTGTCTTGTCGCCTCTAAGTTAGATGGTTGTGGGTGCAAACCCCACGTCAGGACTTGGACTCACATCATCTAAGCTGATGCACCAATGTAGTGCTGAGGGATGGTGGGAGAAAATTGATTGTCGGAGATGCCTTCATTCAGATGAGATCTTAAACCGAGGTTCCGCCTGCCAGTTCAGGTGGACGTTAAGATCCTGTGGCACTATTCGAAAAGAGAAGGGAGTTTCTCTCTCCCAGTGTCCTAGTCACCAATTCCCCAAATAAAATTGGTTTCTCACTCCTTGGCCAATTGCAGGATGTTGCTTTGCACAATTGGCTGCTGCGTTTTGCCAACAAAATACATAGTCATTACACTCTACACCTCTGCCCACTGCTGGCAGACACGATTAACTAGTCTCTGACCTCAGGATCAATCCCACTCCCCCTCAAAACCACGGTCATCACCACTCTCCTTAAAAAATCTACCCTTGATCCCTCCAACCTCAGCCCTATCTCAAACTTTCCCTTCCTTGACAAAGCTCTGGAATGCGTTGTTGCCAACCTACTTTGTGTACACCTCTCCCTCCATACCCTACTCGAACCACTCCAGTCCGGTTTCCACCCTGCTCACAGTACAGAGGCAGCGCTCGTGAAAGTCACTAATGATATCTTCTCTATTTATGACCAAGGCTCCCTCCGCCTCCTCGTCCACCTGGACCTCTCCGCTGCAGTCGATCACGCCATCCTCCTCCACCTCCTGTCCTCCATCATCCAACTCAGTGGGACCACACTTGCTTGATTTGAGTCCTACCTTACAAACCGCCAACACTACATTTCTGCAAGTGGCTTTTCTTCTTGTTTCCACCTGGTCACCTGAGGCATAACCCAAGGATCCATTCTTGGCCCCCTTCTCTTCCTCATCTATATGCTTCCTCTCGGTGATGTCATCTGCAGACACATGGTTAACTTCCACATGTATGGGGATGACATTCAACTCTCCAGCTGCGACCCCCAGTCCCCTGATGTTCTGTCAACTTGTCTGTCGGACATCAAGAGCTGGATGAATGCCAATTTCTGCAGTTAAACTTCAACAAGATGGAAGCCATACTCTTTAGCTCCCGCCGAGTCTTCTGTCTCATGGTCCGATCTTCTGTCCCGACTTCCTCAACCAACCCGACCTGTCCTTAAAACCCTCTGAACCTGTGTGCAACTTAGGGGTCAGGTTCGATCCCCAGTTATCCTTCCTCCCCAAATACAGTCCCTGACCAGCACAGTTTTCTTCCATCTCCGCCACATTGCTCGTCTCCGACAATACCTCACCCCAAAAGCTGCTGAAATCCTTGTCCATGCCTTTGTCACCTCTCGGCTGGACTACTCTAATGTCCTCCTCACTGGTCTTCCCTCCTCCACTATTCACAAAATTCAGCTCATTCAAAACTCCGCCGCTCGCATTCTCACCCGCACCAAACTTTGTACCGCAGTAACATAACATAACATAACATAACATAACATAACATAACATGTAGGAGCAGGAGTAGGCCATTCGGCCCTTCGAGCCTGCTCCGCCATTCAATCATGGCTGATCTTCTAATCTAACTCCAGCTAATAACCTAACTCTGCCTTATCCCCATATCCCTTAATATCTCTTGCAATAAGAAATCTATCTATCTCAGTCTTGAATATGTTCAAGGACTAAGCGTCAACAACCCTTTGGGGTAGTGAGTTCCATACATTCACCACCCTTTGAGTGAAGAAGTTCTTCTTCAACTCAGTGCAAAAGGGCTGGCCTCTGATTTTAAGGTTGTGACCCCTGGTTTTAGTTTCTCCAACCAGGGGAAACAATCTCCCACTATCTACTCTATCATGCCCTTTGATGATCTTATAGGTTTCTATAAGATCCCCTCTAATTCTTCTATATTCTAGAGAATATAGGCCCAAATTGGTCAGCCTATCCTCGTAACTCATCCCCTTCATCCCTGGTACTAACCTAGTAAATCTACGCTGCACCCCCTCCAAGGCAAGTACATCCTTCCTTAAATAAGGAGACCAAAACTGCACACAGTATTCCAGGTGTGGTCTCACCAGGGCCCTATACAGTTGCAGCAAGACTTCCCTACTCTTATACTCTAATCCTTTCATAATGAATGCTAACATACCGTTCGCCTTCCTAATTGCTGCTGCACCTGCAGACTAACTTTCTGTGATTGGTGTACAAGGACACCCAAGTCCCTCTGGACGCTAACACATTCCAATCTCTCCCCTTCTAAAAAATAACCCGCTCTACTGTTTTTGCTACCTAGGTGGATGACTTCGCACTTCCCTACATTATACTTCATCTGCCACCTACCTGCCCAATCACCTAACCTATCTATGTCTCGCTGCATTTTTTTAATGTCATCCTCTGTGTTGACACTTCCTCCTAGTTTTGTGTCATCCGCGAATTTAGATATATTAACTTCGATGTCCTCATCTAGATCGTTGATGTAGATGGTAAATAGCTGAGGCCCAAGGACTGATCCTTGTGGCACTCCACTAGTCACATCCCGCCAATCTGAAAAGGACCCGTTTATCCCTACTCTTTGTTTCCTACCCGCTAACCATTCCCCAATCCACGTTAATATGCTCCCCCCAATTCCATGGGCCCTTATCTTTTGGACTATCGAATGCCTTCTGGAAGTCCAAATAGACCACATCCACTGATTCACCCTTATCTAGTTTACTCGAAATGCCCTCAAAAAACTTTATGAGATTTGTCAAACATGACTTCCCTTTTGTAAAGCCATGTTGACTTGGCCTAATTATATTGTGTTCCCCTAAATACCGCACTACCACATCCTTAATCAATGATTCTAAAATTTTTCCTATCACTGATGTGAGACTAACTGGCCTATAGTTCCCCATCTTTTCCTTTCCACCTTTTTTAAATAGTGGTGTGACATTTGCGATCTTCCAATCCATGGGGACTGTTCCGGAATCCAAGGAATTTTGGAAGATCAGACATAAGGCCTTCACTATCTCTTTTAAAACCCTGGGATGCAAGCCATCCGGACCAGGGGATTTGTCACTTTTTAGTGCTAACAGTTTCCCGAGCACCAATTCTCTTCTAATGAAAATTTCCCTAAGTTGCTCCCTGTCCTTATCCCTTTGGTGCATCTCTATTGTTGGCAGACTTGTTGTGTCTTCTAGGGTGAAGACAGATGCAAAGTACCCTTTTAGGGACTCTGCCATGTCCTTGTCTCCCATTACAACTTCTCCCGTCTCTGACTACATTTACCCTCACTAGCCTATTCCTCTTAATATATTTGTAAAAACCTTTACAGTCAGACTTAATGTTCCTCGCTAGCTTACCTTATACTCCTTTTTCTCACTCTTAATGAGTTTTTTAGTTTTATTTTGCTGGTTTCTAAAACTCTCCCAATCTTCAGATTTGCTGCTTTTCTTGGCAGTTTTATAAGCCTTTTCTTTTAATTTGATGCTTTCCCTAACTGCTCCAGTTAGCCACAGATGAATTGCTTTCCCTGTGGTACTCTTATTCCGCAAGGGAATATGCGACCTCTGAGAATTTTGCACTACATCCTTAAATTTTGCAACTGTTGGTCTACATTTTTACCTCTTAATCTTATTCTCCAGTCTATTTTACCTAAATCTTTCCTCATACCTACAAAATTAGCCCTATTTAAATTCAGAATACTTGCCTCTCTATTCTCCAGTTACTCCAGTCCTCGCCAAACTCCACTGGCTCCCTGTCACAGAGCGGATCGACTTCAAGATCTTCACTCTAGTGTTTAAATCCTTCCATTGCTTAGCAACCCCCTATCTCTCCAACCTCCTCTCTCCCCACAGCATTACCCATTGCCTCTGCTCTACTGGGTCCGGCCTCCTCCGTGTCCCCCGAATTCTTTGCTCCACCATCAGTGGCCGTGCCTTCAGCCACTACATCCCGAAACTTTGGAACTCCCTCCCTCAACTCCTTCACTTCGCCCCCTCCTTCCCCATCTTCAGGTTGTGCTTGAAGAGCTTCTTTTTCGACCGCTCCAATGGTCACCTTTGCCCTGTCCCTGGCTCGGCCTTGTGCTCCATCATTGTTAAGTGCTCAGAGGTACCGCCCAGCGTGGAGGGCGCTATATAAATGCAAGTTGTTGTTTTTGTTATACAATATATATACTGTCAAGAGCTTACAGATGTCTCAATGATGTGATGTAGCGTTTTGGGCACCTCACACTCTGGGGTCCCCAAACCTTGGCTCTTGCCAACCTGCGCCTAATACTCTCCGAAAGGTAAGCACAATGCGTCCCTCCAGGAAGAGAGAGCACATTCCATTCCAGACACGTGGAAATTTCCATGTGGTTTAGATACTCTTAAGCATGGTGATGGGTTTCCACATGTGTCAGAGGCAAATAAAAGAGGTCAAAATACAGCCAATGAAGTACATTTCAAAAATAATAATAAATCCAGGACAAAGATAGTTGCTAGGGAATCAGGACGAAAATCAAGGCAAGGAGAAATTATATCTTTTTAATTGTAAAAATATCTTTATCTTTAGTTTAGTTAACATGACCTGTGGAATCCTGTAGCTCAGTGGTTAGAGCACTCGTCTTGCAAGCAAGAGAATTGGGTTCAATTCCCGGCATGGCGAAACCTTGGGCACGTTTCCTTACTCCACACGTCTGATAATAATCCCTCAAGAAAAAAAATAATTTGGTCACTCATTCCACGACTGTTTGTGAGACACTGCTGTGCGCAATTGGCTGCTGCGTTGCGCCCACAAGTATTCAGTCAATTCACTTTACAGTATATTCTGTAAAGCGCTTTGAGATGCCTAGAAGATGCAAGGATTATTATTTTTGTGGAGTCCTGTAGCTCAGTGGTTAGA